TTTTTTTTTTTTTTTTTTTGAGACAAGAGTTTCACTTTTGTGGCCCAGACTGGAGTGCAATAATCTGATCTTGGCTCACCACAACCTCTGCCTCCTGGGTTCAAGCGATTCTCCTGCCTCAGCCTCCCAAGTAGCTGGGATTACAGACATGCGCCACTACACCAGGCTAATGTTGTATTTTTAGTAGAGACAAGGTTTCTCCATGTTGGTCAAGGTGGTCTTGAACTCCTGACCTCAGCCTCCCAAGTACTGGGATTACAGGCATGAGCCACCGAGCCTGGCCCTAATTTTAGTAGAGACGGGTTTCTGTCTTGTTGCCCAGGCTGGACTAGAACTCCTGAGCTCAAGCAATCTGCCCACCTCGGCCTCCCAAAGTGCTGGGATTACAGGCATGAGCCACTGCGTTCAACCCATTCATTTACTTTTTGAGACAGTGTCTCGTTCTATTGCCCAGACTGAAGTGCAGTGGGGAGATAGATCTTGGCTCAATGTGGCCTCCGCCCCTCAGGCTCAAAGTGATTCTCCTATCTCAGCCTCCCAAGTAACTGGGACTATAGGTGGGTGCCACCAGGCCCAGTTAATTTTTTTCTATTTTTTGTAGAGACGGCATTTTGCCATGTTGCCAGGGCTGGTCTCCAACTCCTGAGTTCAAGTGATCCACCCGCCTCAGCCTCCCTAAGTGCTTGGGATTACAGGCGTGAGCCTCACCCGGCCTGTTATTTCTAATAGACAATTACATTTACCAAATAGTTGTACTGTGTACGGTAGTGAAATATGAATGCTATGCTTCAGTTTGACACAGATGATTAATGATGTCTAGTGTCTTCAATGATTTGATCCTACAGATACTTTCCACCAAGACAGTGTCCTAACATTTCTGGGTCTCAATTTCTTAGCTATAAAATGTGGGAGCCAATGGCCGTGTGCGGTGGCTCACACCCGCATCCGAGCACTTTGGGAGGCTGAAGCGGGTGGATCACGAGGTCAGAAGTTCAAGACCAGCCTGACCAACATGGTGAAACTCTGTCTCTACTAAAAAAATACAAAAATTAGCCAGGCATGGTGATGCACACCAGTAATTCCAGCTACTCAGGAGGCTGAGGCGGGACAATTGCCTAAACCCGGGAGGCTGCAGCGAGCTGAGATCTTGCCACTGCACTCCAGCCTGGGCAACAGAGCGAGACTCGGTCTCAAAAATAAATAAAAATGTAAAAATGTGGGAGCCAAAGCAGATGAGATGAACTACAGGATCCACTCCAATCTTGAAATTTTATACCTAATTATAAAACCGTCAGTAAGGTCAGTTATGAGCATAAAATGTGAACCAGAAAACAAAACATTTAAGTTCATCCTGTCATTCCAGAGCTAACCACAGGGATGAGCGAGGGATTTGAAACAATTCCCAAAGGAGACAGTATTTGGCTGTTACCTGAAGCCCACCTGGTAGGTGAATAAACCCTTAATCCCAGACAGAGTACTTCCCTGACTCCTTTGCCTACACTTAAGAACACTCTTCACAAAGACACAGTTAACCCATCTTCCTCCCTTTCCTCCCTGCAGTTTTTCCTGTTCTCTGGTAGTTTCACATCAATTTTTCCCTAATACTACTACTTCCCCCCACTCCAGATTTTTCATTTTCCCCTTTTATTCAGAGTAAAATCTTCTAGAAAACTTATTTGTAGGTTGGGACAAAAAAATATGGATGAAATGACTTAAAATCAAAGAAACTATATTACAGCAATTACAGGCAAATGAGAATTACTGGTTAAGGTCTAGAGAAATCCTAAGAGAGAAAGAAAACCAAGAATAATAAAAACGAAATTCTAGGGACTGACATAATGCAAGTTTTCCAAAGTTGGTAAAAGGCCCTGAAAAGAGTGCAAATGAGTGACAACTCCTGGAGGTTGGGTCCAGCCTCTGAAATTAACATGCACGAGCCCAAGGCCAGGCAACCAGGTGTTTAGAATGTGAAACATACTCTGCCCGGGCTTTCTTTCACTGTCAAACTCCTGGCCAAAAGAGGCTTCCCACATGACATATTTTAAAAATTAAAATTAAAAAAGTTATTCACATCTATTTCACCTCTCCCTTGAAAAACAAATGAATAAACAGTCCCTCTTTCCGTCTTTACTCCCACACTAAACCTCACACCGTTGATGAGCCTGGAGGACTGGGTTGGCACGAGAGGATGGCGCCAAAGCTCGGGGAGAGGGCGGTCAGTGGGCGGAAGGTGCTTCTCCACACATGGCCGAGCCCTCGCCGCAACTGGCCACCGCATACGGTGCCCAAGCATCGGCAGCTCCCTCTCGGCCCCGACCCCGCTATCTCTGTCGCCCAGCAAACGGCCGCTGAGGCCGCAGGCTCCCGATTGGGACCCTTCCCAGGGGAGGACCCCATCCCCCGCTCCCTTTCTCCGTCAGATTCCCGCCCTGCAGCGGCCAGCCTATGAGCCCCTGCCTCCTCACCTCCATGGAGACGCGCCAGCCTTGCATGGCGGAGAAGCCGTAAGGCAGCGGCAGGCGCGGGGCGCCGACCCCGTCCCCGGAGCACTTCACCGTGTTGGGCTGCGAGAGGTAGGCACCCATGGCGGCGGCTGGCCGGCGGCCTCAGGGGGAGGAAAGCTGGGCGCGACCCGTGCCGGAGCCGAAGCCCCGGGGGCGCGCGCGCGCGGCAGGAGCAGGCCCGGCGGCGCGACCGACGCAAGGTGCCGGTGAAAGGCGCGAGGCCGGCCAGGAGGCGGTAACGGGACGGGAGCAGAGAGAGAGCGGAAGCGGAAACGGCGCCGCTCCAGACCCCGCCCGGCCGGCGCGGCGGGGCCAGGCGCTGCGGGCAGTCATTTCCTTAGCAACTCGCCCCGCCCGCGGGGACAACGGCCCGCCCAACGGCCGCTCCCGCGAGACTGACGCGACCACGCCCATCAACGGCCGCGGTTCTCCTTGGTAGCCTCGCGCAGGTTGTCGGTCGCCCCTCAGTGCACCCTCTCGTCCTTTCCCTGTCCCCAACCTCTTGGCGTTTTGTCTGCACCTCTTTTGTGTCGGACTCCACGCTTCCGGCCAGTCCTCGAGTGTTTTCTTCCCCTTCTCCCCAACGTCGCGCCCTCAGACTCCTCAAACCCCGCCCGAGTTCGTTCAATTAAAGTTGACCAGTATTTGTTGTGAGCTTAGGAAGTACTTTGGCCAGGCCCTGCGAGGCCTATAAGAAAAGAATGTGAGTCTTTTCTGGCAAAGTGAAGACCTCGATCTGTGACATAATTCGAATTAATAAAATGTAGAAATGGTTGGTACAGCCTATTCTGGGTGAGAAAAGCTCCAAGGATGGGAGGAGGAACAGCTCCTTGGAGGACTGAGGGGATGTAGACCCTGGATTGCATTATGCCAGGGGAAAAGGGAATAATGTTACAAGGTTTGGAGGAGTGAGGGAAGAATGTAAACTGCATTTGGGGAGAATTTTTGAGGAAGCTGCCTGGCCTCGGAGAATGATTCTAAGTGGTAATGTTAGCTAGCTAGCTTGATAAAAAGAAGTGCCAGGATGGGTGACTTGGACTTGATTGTCATCCTGGTGTAACTTTTGCATCGTTGGTCTAGTCTTTGTATGCAGAGTACCTTGGAGGGAGAGAGTCAGGGGGACTGTTACTGGTTAGAGAGCTCTTAATCTAAGCAGCAGATGAGAAGAGCTGGGAGTAAGTTGGTACCAGACAGGGTGGCAGTGGGAATCCAGACGAAAGGACAAATTAGACAATAACAAATAAAACATTTGGTAATTGATTGGATTCAAGGGATGGAGAGAAAAGGAGAAATTCTCCAAACTATGGCAAAAATTGATTCTTTTCGGCTGGGCACGGTGGCCATACCCCTAATCCCAGCACTTTGGGAGGCTGAGGCAGGTATATCACTTGAGGCCAGAAGTTTGAGACCAGTCTGGCCAACATGTGAAACCGAGTCTCCACTAAAAGTACAAAAATCAGCCAGGCGTGGTGGTGCACGCCTGTAATCCCGGCTACTTGGCAGGCTAAGGCAGGAGAATCACTTGCACCCCAGAGGCAGAGGTTGCAATGAGCCCAGATCCGACCACTGCACTCCAGCCTGGGTGACAGAGCAACTCCGTCTCAAAAAAAAAAAAAAAAATTGATTCTTTAAAAACATAAAACTAATCATGGCTTCCTCATGCTCTTCAGATAGTCCAAATTCTTTAACATAATTTACAAGACCCTTCATGCTAATTATCCAGATTCTCATATGTCTCTCCATTTCTCCTACAACTCTGCTTCAGCAATGTTTTGGGTGTGTCTAAAGTCATGCTTTCTCTTACACTTTTGTCCATGGAGCGCAACTCTCCACCCAACCCTCTCGACCATCACTTTCTCCAGGAAGTCTTCTCTAATATCACTATACTTGTTTGGGTCCACATTTGTTTGTCTTTCCTGCTATAAGCCTTTATGAAGGCAGAAATTCCATTAACCTTACCATTGTGTTCTCATCCCTTGCACAGTTGTATGTGCTGCATAATATTTAAATATTTGTTGAACGAATAACACCAAGATTTTGACTCAATAACAAAACTTGGAGCCATTAACAGAAAAAGGTGTAGTTTGGGGGGATGCTAGTTTGGGGGGAAAAACTGGTTCAGTTTAGGGTGACAACTTGATATAACACTGAAAATATTAGATTGGAGTTAAGCCATGAGGGTGGAAGAGATGTTTATTGGCTTGCAGGTTTCCAGGAACCTAGATGAGATCTCAGCCTTGGTTGCAGTGAGCTGAGATCATGCCGCTGCACTCCAGCCTTGGTGACAGAGCGAGACCCTGTCTCCAAAAACAAAGGAACAAAGTAACAACAAAAATTACTCAGCCTCTTCTTTCTTCTCCTCCTGCTCCTCCTTCTCCTCCTCCTTTCTTTTAAGAGATGAGGTCTTGATATGCTGCTGAGGCTAGTCTTGAACTTCTGGGCTCAAGCAATCCTTTCATTTTAGCCTCCCAAATAGCTGGGACCACAGGCATGTGCCACTGTACCTGACTTCTTTTTTCTTTCTTTCTTTTCTATTTTTGGCTTTTGTTTTTTCCTAAGAATGAAATTTGACATTGTTTAAAGAGCATGAGTTTTGCCATGCATTACCTATAAGATCTTCTTTCACAAATTACTTATTCCCTCTCAGGCTGGGTCCATTTGCAAGACGGACATATAACATCTACTATTCCAGATAGCTTTAAGGATAAGAGGAGTTGAATATAAAGTGCTGGCCGGGCACGGTGGCTCACACCTGTAATCCCAGCACTTTGGGAGGCTTGGGGGGGGTGGCAGATCACAGGTCAGAAGTTCAATACCAAGCTGGCCAATACAGCAAAACCTGGTCTCTACTGAAAATACAAAGTAGCCCAGCATGGTGGTGGACATCAGTAACCCCAGGAGGCTGAGGCAAAATAAACACTTGAACCTGGGAGAAGGAGTTTGCAGTGAGCTGAGATCGTGCCACCGCACTCCAGCCTGGGATTCAGAACGAGACTCCATCTCAAAAAAAAAAAAAAAAAAGGTGGGGCAGGGGAGGTGGCTAACCCCTGTAATCTAAGGACTTTGGGAGGCCAAGGGGGGTGGATCACTTGAGGCCAGAAGTTTGAGACCAGCCTGGCCAACATGACAAGACCGGGTCTCTACTGAAAATACAAAAAATTAGCTGGACATTGTGGCGTGCATCTGTAGTCACAGCTACTCAGAAGGCTGAGGCACAAGAATAACTTGAACCTGGGAGGTAGAGGTTGCAGTGAGCTGAGATTAGGCCACTGCACTTTAGTGTGAGCAACAGAATGAGACTGTCTCAAAAACAAAAGTGCAAAATAAATAATATGTGAATTTGATTTGAACATAATTAAACACAGTTGTGGATATCAAAGAATATTAGGTGAATTAAGATTTAATTGGGCTATGTTTGTCTTTTTATTTCTCAATGGTCCTATTTATGTATTTGTTTATCTTAGGAGTTGACTCAGTTCCTTATGATATGACTTACAGGTATACAGCCAAATAATGTTCCCATTTAATAACTTTTAAAATGAAGTACAGAAGGCTAAGGCATGAGACAATGCCCCAAGGCGTCATTTCTAGACAGGGATAAGGTGTGAGCTAGGGTGATGGTTACTACCCTTAAGCCTAATGACAGGCTATCTATTTCAGAATCACCTGGAAAGATTCTTAGACATGCAGAAACCCAAGTCTCACTGACCCCAAAATTCATATTCAGCTGATCCAGGGAGGGGCGTGGGAATGTTTTTTGTTTTTTGGGTTTTTTTGTTTTGTTTTGTTTTTTGAGACAGTTTCACTCTTGTTGTATAGGCTGGAGCGCAATGGCGCCATCTCAGCTGGTCGCAACCTCTGCCTCTCAGGTTCAAGTGATTCTCCTGCCTCAGCCTCCTGAGTAGCTGGGATTATAGGCATGTGCCACCACGCCCGGCTAATTTTTTGTATTTTTAGTAGAAATGGGGTTTCTACATGTTGGTCAGGATGGTCTTGAACTCCTAACCTCAGGTGATCCACCTGCTTCAGCCTCCCAAAGTGCTGGGATTACAGGCATGAGCCACTGCACCCTGTAGGAATGTGTGTTTTAAAGCACCTTAGATAATTCACAATTATCAAGACATCTAGGCTTCTCTTAGTTTGAAGTCCTACAGAAATGTAAATGCCATTTTTATTTTGTCTTCAGTTTGAAAAGAGGCTCTTTTGGAAGAAAGGATCCACACCACATCCCTAGAGAAATGATTAGATTGTTTTTAGTTTAGTTTTGTTTTGTTTTTGAGATGGAGTTTTGCTCTTGTTACCCAGGCTGGAGTGCAATGGCTCAATCTTGGCTCACCAAAACCTCTGCCTCCCGGGTTCAAGTGATCCTCCTGCCTCAGCCTCTTGAGTAGCTGGGATTACAGGCACGTGCCACCATGCCCAACTAATTATTGTATTTTTAGTAGAGATGGCATTGTGCGTCATGGCTTGCTAGTCTCACACTGAGGGAAAAAACCTTAGAGCAGAAACCCAATACGTTTTCCAATTGCCCTGAACTATGGGAAGACCTTAAAAGATTCTAGACAGTTTTATTGGGGTATGAGTGTGGCAACTCAAACCTATAATCCTAGCACTTTTGAGAGGCTGAGTGAGGTGGGAGGATTGCTTGAGCCCAGGAGTTTGAGGCTGCAATGAGCTATGATCATATCACTGCACTCCAGCCTGAGCAACAGAGCAAGATTCTGTCTCTAAAGAAAAAAAGAGCTCACTCGGCTGGGCACAGTGGCTCATGCCTGTAATCCCAGCACTTTGGGAGGCTAAGGCGGCCGGGGGGGGCGGGGGGGATCCCAAGGTTAGGAGTTCAAAAGACAAGCCTGACCAACATGGATCAACCCCGTCTCTACTAAGAATACAAAAATTAGCCAGGCATGGTGGTGCACACCTGTAATCCCAGCTACTCAGAAGGTTGAGGCAGGAGAATCGCTTGAACCTGGGAGGTGGAGGTTGCAATGAGCTGAGATCATGCCACCGCACACCAGCCTGGATGACAGAGCAAGACTCCGTCTCAAAAAAAAAATAATAAAATAAAAGAAAGAAAAGAAAAAACCTCATTGTGAATTTAATGATTTTCAATAAATTTACAGAGTTCTACAACCGGTATGTCACAATGCAAGTTATAGTCCACTTGGGAGATTAGGTAGCAGGTCATCTGGGAAGCTCAGAATTAGAACAAATAGAAATGAGTAGTCTTGGCCAGGTGAGGTCGCTCCCACATGTAATGCCAGCACTTTGGGAGGCCGACGTGGGCGGATCACCTGAGATAAGGAGTTCGAAACCAGCCTGGCCAACATGGTGAAACGCTGTATCTACTAAAAATGCAAA